GAGTTTAGAATTTTAAAAATTGAACTATTTCATTCAAATATGATTTAGAGTTATGTACGCTATGAAATGTAGACTACACAATACGATATTCTCGGCCTAAACTTAAGAAAAATATTTTATCTATTTGGATTCTAGATCTAGAGATTCTAGATCTAGACTAGATCTAAATCTACGCAAAAACTACACTTAAACGCTACGTCGCTAAGATCTATTCTAGATCTAGATTTAGACTCTATCTACTGTAGAATCTATTCCAAAAATAAATTTCTATAATAAACTTTTTCAGGACTTAAATATTTTATAGAAATCTGTGTTTGTTTAGCAATGAAACTGGCTAATTTTGGGTAAAAAAAATAATTTGAAAAAATAGGCATATTCGTGTAAGTTATTTTTTTAAACACTTCTTTTACTCTCCATATTTTAAAAGGTACCTAATTAGCTGAGATGATAGTGTACTTGATACCAGACAGGTGGTGCTGGATCGAGACACACCAAGTCAACCCTAATTTTTTTTTTATATGTGAATCTTCCTATTTTAGACTATAAAGAAAGTAACTACTTTGGAAATCTTTGTTTATCTATGCAATTTGCAGGCGCTTCACATTTGGCAGGAATTTTGCCTTGGGGCGACAGAACACGGGGGACGGTGCCGGTTGGCCTAAAGGTCTACGATGAGGGGGTCAAAACAGACCTCGATTGACCGGCGACTTATATGAGCTATAAATCGAAAAAAAACTTGTCCACGTAGGAACCTCTTCATAACTCCTGAGGTCGTAGACCGACCCTCGGGCGAATTAATTAAGCATTTAAATTCTCAATGTTTTTGAAAGCCTAAGCGAAGCTGGGCAGCATGCCTAGTATATATATATATATATATATGACTCAACAAATCTACATTTTCTATCTCTCCATAAAAGAATATTATTTGAAATATAACTTTGGTCAACACTCGACAGTTAAAGTGGCAAAATATGGCACAAACAGAACATTGAAAAGACGGAAAATTTCAATAATTTTCAGGCAGCTATGTCGTATTGAAAATGCAATTTATTAAAATAAAATACATTGACATTACCAGTAAATTAATAATTGTTGTACACAATTTAACACAAGCAATTTATGTAGCTATATATATAATTTGTTTAAAATATAAAATATAATAACTTTATTTTTAATGAAATTTACTATATACAAAATGTATAAATCATAACTTAATGTCGATCACATTTAGAAGAAATTTTAATGTAATAATTTGTTCAAATCCTTATTAACTACTATATTTCAGAAGGCCTATATTTCATTTTAAAAATTGAAATTGTGAAAAACGCAAGTCTTACTTTCTGGTATATAAGAAGTATATAGAAAGTCTAGTAATCGCGCAAAAAAAATCGAGATTTTTCCAAATCTCGTCGTTTTAGGGCTCATTGAGTCGGAAAAACATAGTTTTGCAATCTTGTCCGTATTTCTGTGTGTGTGTATGTGTGTCTGTGTGTGTGTGTTTGTGTGTGTAAACACGATAACTTAAGTACTGTTACAGCTAAGTTGCTGAAATTTCATTTATAAGTATTATATCAAAATCGTAGATCAACTTTTGAGCAATTTCCGCTAACCGGAAGTAGAACTTTTTCGACTTTGAATGTTTCAAAAGCCTATAACTTGAGTACTATTTCAGATAAATAAATGAAATTTCACACGTAAGTAAAAGATTCTTAGCTCTGTCTTTTATCAAATTTTGAGTAATTTCCGTTGACCGGAAGTATTAATTTACGCTATTTCCGATTTCTAAAATAACGCATGTGAATTTATAAAGTACTAATAATATCCCGCACCATTATGCACATTTTATTTGGCGTTTACTTGGTGTGCAATTTTTTTACGATATTGTATTCTATAATAAAAAGTTTAAGTAATTAAAAATGGATTAAAAATAGTGTTTTATTAGAATATTCAAGAAAGTTTAAGGGAGATCACTCCCGGTTTATTTTTTTATCTATGCATTAGATTAAGAGTTTTAAGATTATGGAAGTAGTATCTAGTGAATTAAGAACGCTAGATAAATTACCCTTTTATCTATTATATAGCTAGTTTCATACAACATGGTAATAGTTAACCCTAAGTGCATTGGGGCGAGGGGGGGGAAGTGGAAAGGAATTCGCAGGACATGACAAAACAAGTCTCGGACTACTTTTAATAAAAGGCTAGCATTTTTTATTAAATTGCGTTCCTAATTGTATGGTAGTAATTCATACCAAGTACGAGGCTAATTTTTGTTCGTTTCATTTCTTTTCTTTTAATATCACATACAGCCATTTTCTAAGAAAAATCATTCAATAGGAATGAAAATTAATTCAAACACAAGCTCAAACAGGTTCAATGTACCTTTTCAGGTTACAAAAGTATTCAGTACGTGCCCTAGCACTATTTTTTTTCTACCGTATTTCGACAACTACTTTTAAAAGTATACAATACATTTTAATATAAGATATGTTTCTTTAAATGCACAATCATAGGACTGTACTTTTTTGCACAAATAAGCTTTGTTAATTTTTACACAATGTGGTACTTCAAAGCTTTTTTTTTTAAATGTGGCTGTGCATAGTCCTGACCACACTTTCCATTCTCATGCCGTAGTCACTAAAAGAAGCAGGTTCTACTTCACCCGAATAGCAGGATGATTCTTCTAGATCAAACTTGTCGAGTGTAATTCACTTTCCCTATAGTTTTAAAACTGATGTAGTTGTTCAGCCTCTAAACAAATTTTACTACACTGATAAAACAAGACGATATAATCGTGCAGTTACCACACCGAGTGACACACGACCTAGTAATGACCTTGAGAACATGACTGAGCGTTAGATTCTGTAATAAGTTAATTCCGATTCAGTGTATCAATATTACCCCCCTAGACGTCTTTATGTCTCTGCACAAAAAGGTTAAAAATCAAGTTAGGAACTGACTTGTCATAACATACAGCGGGTTCAAAATGTCCCGCACTGTAGAGTCCGAATTTTACCATAATATACAAGTTTGGGCACCTGCCCTTCGCCCGGGAAGGGTTGGGTGATTGTAACCAGTTTCTTAATTAATTCAACGGGCGACATCGTACGCTCTGTTTAAAATTTAAAATTATATCAGCCCAGAAACAAATCTAAATAAAATATACGGCTATAAAACCATTTGTATTTTGTATTTAAGTAATGTCTGTCTGTCTCTTTTGTCAATGAATAAATGATAAATAACAAAACGTTAAAACCTTCATAAGAACAAGATTTTAAATACACTGAAAATACGAAAAGAAAACAAACTTGCTTTTTTTAATAAAAGATTTGGTAGTTTTGGTAATGAAGTTCACATTACATAGACTACAACACAAATATCTCCGTTTATCAACGGAAAAATGGGATCTCTTAAAAGACAGTTATTTGCACCTAATTGGTGTGTGGTCGAAGTTCAGGTGAGAAAACAGCCAACAGTGACACTAGCACACCATTGACAGTTAGCTGAGCGAGTGATCGCCATGTATAAATCTTAAGCGCCATTAGTTTCGAAATCGTTTGATTAATTTTTAATAATTAATTTAACACATAATTATTTTTTTTAAATCGCTGCAATAGAAATCGGTGAAACATTAGTGACAACATCTGACACAGACCAATATAAGGACGTTGTAAAGAAAGTAAAAGCTTGTAATTCATTTCTTTTAAACTATACCCATATTTTTCTTACAGAAGCTGGAGAAATGCAGATATAAAAAGCTCAATATTCATCTATATTTTAAAAAATCAATCCATCAACCCACCCAACTCCTACACACACCCATTAGATCCCTGACGCTAAAAACTGTAAACAATGTAAAATTAAAACCTATGAGTATTATATTATTATATATTTAATAATAATAATATAATATTATAAAAAATCGGCTGTGAGATATCAATCTGCCTAAACAAACTATTTGAATATTTTTTACTTATTCGTATATTTAAAAAAATAATTTCAATTTTTTTTTACTTTCTCGTATATACAAAGTATAAAGTCTTGTAAGCGTGCAAAAACAAAAATCGAGATTTTTCCAAATCTCGACGTTTTACACCTTCCTGAGTCGGAAAAACATAGTTTTGCAAGCTTGTCCGTATGTCTGTGTGTCTGTCTATGTGTCTGAGTGTCTGTGTGTGTGTGTAAACACGATAACTTGAGTACCGTTACAGCAAGGTTTAAAAAATTTCATATATAAGTATTTTATCAAAATCGTAGATCAGTATCAACTTTTGAGCGATTTCCGATAACCGGAAGTGGTAATATTTCTACTTTGAATTTTTCAAAAGCCTGTGACTTGAGTACTATTTCAGATAGATAAATGAAATTTCACATGTAAGTAAAAGATCTAATTCTCTGCCTTCGGTCAAATTTTGAGTAATTTCCGTTGACCGGAAGTAGTAATTTATTTTCGATTTCTGAAAAAACTAGTGTAAATTTATAAAGTACTAATAATATTGCGCACTATTATACACATTTTATTTGGCGTTCACTTGGTGTGCAATTCTTTTTCCACGAGATTTTATTCTATTTTAAAAAGTTTAAGTATTTAAAATGGATTAAAAATCATGTCTATATCCCGAGTTCCCATCCCCTGTTGTTTTATATAAGAATATTCGAGAAAGTTTAGGGGAGATCACTCCCGGTTTATTACATGAAAGAACAAGAAATGTTATTTGTGTTGTATTATTTTCCTGTAAAACGACTGTCAAACGTTTTTTCGAACATCTCTTAATGTTAAAGCATAAATGAAATCAGAGGAAAAAAAAACTTGACTGCCTTTCGATCAATGTCAACTTGATTAGAACTTTGGTACACATTTTTTTTATGTCACGGCGAGTCTGTTGCATTCAATGAATCTAAAAACGCAAGTTCGTGCATGAACACCCATGTTTATTGACGTAACTAATAACGACTGCCCTGCATAAAATGAAATAAAGCTATAAAAACTTAGGTTTCACCTTCTGTTTTCACCACACAGCAAACAGTTTGTAAGCTGCCTGTCTTAATTATTCTCACTGAGATCTTTTCGTCAAATCCTTCAAAACTGTGAGTCCATTTTTCTGTTGTTGTTTTTTAAATTATATTACTTTTTTCTTAAATGTTTCTCTCTCTTTGTTCTTGTCTCTTTCTCACTATGTGTCTGTCTGTCTTTCACATACACATAAAAGAGGCTTTTGATGTCATGTACATAATTTACATTACGTTCAATAAAACAGGAGTGATCTCCTCGTACGTTCTCATTTATTCTTATATATAATAGTTATGGTGTTGACAGTTCCAGTACTATCGGGCTAAATAAATATTCGTCATTAATTTTTAAATGTTTAAATTCTTGTAAAATTGAATCGAATCGCGTTAAAATAATGTTTGCAAGCCCAATGAACAGTAGAACTGTGTGTATAATATAGCGGAAAATAAGTACCTGCTCAAACATTCGTTGAATATTTTTTAATAATTTTATTAAACAACTAATTGAGTCAAGTTTTATGCCATCAAGTCACGACCTACGTGAAATGATTGAAAAAAGTCGGACTTGAAGGTGGTAGAAATTTTGTTCACAATTTATCACCAATGACGGGCGATGGACAGAGGAATCAAGTTAAATTAAAAAGATGTGTTTAAAACCTTTTTGATAGCAAGCTTGTATGTAGTAATGCACTAAAACGGAGAAAGTAAATAATTTACTTTAAAGGTATATTAATGAACTCCTATTTAATTAAATAAAAATAAAAGCGTGTGGCATTTTAATTCTAGTAATCGTTCAAAAGCTTCCACAAATATGTGCATAGGATGAAACAAATTTATATTAAATTTCATCACCCTTGCTCAAGTTATCGTTTTTACAAACAGACAGACTGAACAAACATAGACTGAAACAGGCAGACTAAAAAACTCATTGATGTGTAAAATGTCGATACAATGAAGAAAAGATGTAAACATTTTACATATTTTATTTCAAATTAAACTAGTGAAGTATCAAAAACAGCTTACTATCTTCATCTTAGATTCATTCTGAATTTATAATTTACGTTGTTTATTTGAACTAAACATACACACACACACATCACGTTAGTTTTGAAATTAATAAGAACTTCCTGAATATTTATATTTATATAAATATATTTGTTATTTATTTTATCATATTAGATCCAGTTTTGAAAAAAAAAATATATTATAAACATTGACTTATAACATACGATAAATATTAAATACATATTAAATAAATATAAGATAAATATAAGGTATATGTAAGATAATTATGAGATAACTATAAAGTAGAGATAAGATGAAATGGATATGGACATTGACATTGACATTGACATTGACACGGACACGGACACGGACACGGACACGGACATTGACAATAACAATAACAATAACAATAACAATGACAATGACAATGACAATAACAATGACAATGACAATGACAATGACAATGACAATGACAATGACAACGACAACGGCAACGACAATGACAATGACAATGACAATGACAATGGCAATGACAATGACAATGACAATGACAATGACAATGACAATGACAATGACAATGACAATGGCAATGACAATGACAATGACAATGACAATGACAATGACAATGACAATGACAATGACAATGACCTTCATTTTGACATTGACATTGACATTGACATTGACTTTGACGTTGACGTTGACATTGACATTGACATTGACATTGACATTGACATTGACATTGACATTGACATTGACATTGACATTGACATTGACATTGACATTGACATTGACATTGACATTGAGACGGATTAGAGAAATAGGTACGATAGTCATAACAGTCTATACAATACAGATGTTGCCAGTCGGATTAGAGTTCTAAAAGATTCAAATAATTTTTTAAATATTCATTTCAGCTCAAAATGGATTGCACTCCAGACTTGGATCTTATCTTAATTGGTAAAACCGGTAACGGAAAAAGCGCAACAGGAAATTCTATTCTTAAACGTCGCGGCGTATTTAAAAGCAACTATAATACAACATCCATTACAAAATTTCCGCAATACGAAGTGACCAAATTTAATGGCAGGGTCATCCAAGTTGTTGATTGTCCCGGAGTTCTTGACACAGATATCGACCAGACCGGAGGGATCGACTTAGTTAAGCGGGCTTTACAAAACGCTGTCATAGCCAATCCGCAAGGCTATCACGCTTTTCTAATCGTGGTGAAGTTTGCACAACGGTTTACGAAAGAAGAGCAGGACTCAATTAGAATTCTGAAAGAAATCTTGGGAAAAGACGTCCTTAAAACACATGGCATTATCGTCATGTGTAACGGTGACACGTTTGAAAACAATTGCACAGAGAACGGTATCACTCTTGAGCAATTTTGCAAAGAGCAGACTGGTGCATTTAAAGAGCTTCTCAAGGAATGCAATTACAGAATAGTTGTTTTCAGTAATATCACAACGGATGAAACTGTAAAAAATAAACAGTTGAATGAGCTTATTAAACACATCGATCAACTTGGTAATAATGATCTAAGATACACAAATGAGCACTTCTTGCGTGCAAGTAAAAAATACAAGCAGTTGGCAGGACAATCTGATACGCCATTTATAGAGAAAAATATGTTAATTGCTCAAAGCTTAATCCTACTTGAATTGAAAGGGTACACCACTTTTAAAACGACGGAAGAAAAAATTAAATGTTTAACCATGCTTCATGCAAGCAGCACCAAGTTATATCAAGACATTAAAGAAAAAGACAAAGGCACGGGTATCTTACAGAAGTTAATTGATCATGTAAAACTTACACAAACAACTATTAGCAAAAAATTAAATGCTTTAAATGCATTTGATGTCAAAGCTGCCGAACCATTGAGACAAAACTACCCACCTAAATCAACATTGGAAAACAAAGCTGATACGCTTCACCAGTTTAATGAAGACGAAAAAACATGGAATGAAAAAAAGACACACTTTAGCCAAACAAACGCATCAGGAAATCCCGCAAGACAAAGCAAATCAATTGATAATGGTTGTGAAGGGGGAATCACAGAGCTAGATCCGGAAATAGAAGAATTATGTAAGCAGTTTGAAGAAATAAAAAGAGAAGCTGATACAAGCATGTTTGGTATGCTGCTTAACTTCATTAAAAAGAAAGCTGCTACAATTTTTGATATTGTCAAAAAAGGTTTTCAGACCAGTGGCGGAACTGCAGTGCCGCAAACTCCAATCAGGCGGGGGTCCCAGGGAGTTCATGTGAAATGAATTTGAAAATAAAATTCAGTATAATGTTTTTTATCGTGCGCCTTGATAGTATTTTTTCTCAAACATATTGTACAGTTTGATAGTTATTCTAATTTTACACGAATTGTGGGTGAGAAAGAGGCAAACATTAAATGTACTTGAACGACATATTGCTCTTTATTAAATACTTTAATATATGAGTTCTAAACACTAGTTTAAATTGTCATATAGCGGCCCATAACGATCCTTTAAAAAGCTGGATGGGTTGCATTACACTCTATCAAATAATTGTAATTTTTTAATTGAATAATTGAATTTTAAAAATTATAAACATGTTATTATTTATAGTAATTTCGCTAAAACAATATTGTAAACATACTTTCATTTGTGTTTTGTTTTCCTTTGTTTTAGTGTGTGCATTGTAAATAAATGTAGTATTATTTTAATAAACATCTTATTATCTACTAAACATATTTGAATTTTAGTATACTTTCATTATGATAATTCAGGGTTGCAGTTCGTTAATCTGTTTTACAAATTGTTTGTTGTTTATTTTAAATTAAATCTGAATAGGCAAATTTACACTTCCGTTAATGTACATTTAATAGAAAACATTCTTTGATGTTTTATATTTTTCAAGTAGCATGATAATCATTTATACACTTTTAAAATATAAACACTCATTTCATTTTTGTACCGTTTGCCTTTTATTATATTTTTTCAAACTTTTTAAATTTTGTAAGCTTTATTACCAACTCAGAATGAAAAATAATCTTTCTATGAGCAATACTTTTTGTGTCTACTTTGATTAATTAATAAAAATAAACTCAAAAAAGTTATAATAAAAATTGTTTGCTTTTGTATAATCCATTCAAGGGAACTGTATAATTAGTTCAAAATCTAAACGACTGAACTTTATTTTAAACCGACTTGGTGTTTAAAAATTGGTCTATACATTTTGAATCTTTGTTGACATGATTGTGACAATAAGGGACATAACGTAAAGAAACACAACATGTAAGTTATAAGTTATGCATATTTATAATGCTAGATTTCTATCGAGTGTTTGAAACCACTGTATAAAAAAAAATACGCCTTTGGGCTTAAAATAAATTTTGCTCAAGCTATTTATTTTGTGATGTTAATGCATATATTCTATAAAATTATACTGTTTATACTTTAAAGATTAAATAGAATTTTATAAAACATTTGGAAATCTTCTTTTCTTTTGGAAAAAAAATAGATAAAGATCATTTAAACATTTATATATTTATACATATGCTTTAGTATTCGCGTTTAAACATTTTGCGGTTTCAAAATTAAATTAAGTTAATCAAGACTCTCGCAATGCAGTATCGTTTGAAAGATAAACATTTTACCTATAATAACTAATTAAATTTTAATAAATATTAAAACCAACAAATAAAATAATAAAGTTGATGATCTAGTTCTTTTTTCTGTTTAGTATCAGCATTGCATCACATTTAGTTTACACATTGTTTTTCAGAAAGTTGTACCGGTTTCCACTCTAAAACCGTGTTAAAGGGTAGTGAGTAGAAAAAGTTTTAGGCCCTACAATGCCCATAATGTTTGGGCTTTTGTGAGCTAATATGTGGGTCCCAAAAAAACATCGCTGTCGAGAAAACGTGCTTGTACATGGTTATTTTGTGTAATCGTGTGAATGCGTACGTGCATGTGTGTGTGCGGGTGGTCGTGTGTAAGTATATGTGTGACCATGTGTGACCCTGTGTGTGGCTTTCCGTGTATGTATCTGTGCTCGTAGCTGAGTCTGTGCCTGCAATGGTGTGTGCATGTGTGTGTATCCGCGTGTTCATGAGACCTGTGTACGTGTAAGCGTGTGTGTGTGTGTGTGTGTTCGTGTATCGGTGCGTCCGCGGCCGTGTGTGTGTGTGTGTTTATCAGTCTTTGCGTGCGATATTTGTTGTTTGTGTGGTCGTATGTATATGAAGACGTTGCTTTGGGCGAATGTGTCTATGCGTATGTGTGTGCGTGACGTGAGCGTGAGCGTGTTTCTGTGTGTGCATGTTTGACCCTACCCAACTTAACCCCAGCAACATAACCTTGAACATTTATGCTACTTCTACATTTACATTGTCACTTTTTTTTAAACTGCCAAATGAAAAAAATAATAATTAAACACTGCAAAAAGCCTAATCTTACAAACACAAACAAAGAACTTGGTTCTTAATATATATACACGTGTCTCTGTCTTTCTCTCTGAAAAGAACTATCTGACGTCATATGAAACAATACAAAATCAAATTTATTTAAACTAGTATGTTAGTTCGACGGTTATAGTAAATGACTGTCAATTCCACTATATGTTAAATTCGAATCACAGGTTTGGATTCTACAGGACGCCCCCCAGTGTTTCTTCCAGACTTTTTTCTCGGAGGGGGGGGGGTGGATTCTATGGCTATGGCTATGGCTATGGCTATGGCTATGGCTATGGCTATGGCTATGGCTATGGCTATGGCTATGGCTATGGCTATGGCTATGGCTATGGCTATGGCTATGGCTATGGCTATGGCTATGGCTATGGCTATGGCTATGGCTATGGCTATGGCTATGGCTATGGCTATGGCTATGGCTATGGCTATGGCTATGGCTATGGCTATGGCTATGGCTATGGCTATGGCTATGGCTATGGCTATGGCTATGGCTATGGCTATGGCTATGGCTATGGCTATGGCTATGGCTATGGCTATGGCTATGGCTATGGCTATGGCTATGGCTATGGCTATGGCTATGGCTATGGCTATGGCTATGGCTATGGCTATGGCTATGGCTATGGCTATGGCTATGGCTATGGCTATGGCTATGGCTATGGCTATGGCTATGGCTATGGCTATGGCTATGGCTATGGCTATGGCTATGGCTATGGCTATGGCTATGGCTATGGCTATGGCTATGGCTATGGCTATGGCTATGGCTATGGCTATGGCTATGGCTATGGCTATGGCTATGGCTATGGCTATGGCTATGGCTATGGCTATGGCTATGGCTATGGCTATGGCTATGGCTATGGCTATGGCTATGGCTATGGCTATGGCTATGGCTATGGCTATGGCTATGGCTATGGCTATGGCTATGGCTATGGCTATGGCTATGGCTATGGCTATGGCTATGGCTATGGCTATGGCTATGGCTATGGCTATGGCTATGGCTATGGCTATGGATGTGGCTGTGGTTGTGGCTGTGGCTGTGGCTGTGGCTGTGGCTACATCTACATCTACATCTACATCTACATCTACATCTACATCTACATCTACATCTACATCTACATCTACATCTACATCTACATCTACATCTACATCTACATCTACATCTACATCTACATCTACATCTACATCTACATCTACATCTACATCTACATCTACATCTACATCTACATCTACATCTACATCTACATCTACATCTACATCTACATCTACATCTACATCTACATCTACATCTACATCTACATCTGCATATGCATCTGCATCTGCATCTGCATCTGCATCTGCATCTGCATCTGCATCTGCATCTGCATCTACATCTACATCTACATCTACATCTACATCTACATCTACATCTACATCTACATCTACATCTACATCTACATCTACATCTGCATCTGCATCTGCATCTGCATCTACATCTTCATCTGCATCTGCATCTGCATCTGCATCTGCATCTGCATCTGCATCTACATCTGCATCTACATCTACATCTGCATCTACATCTACATCTACATCTACATCTACATCTACATCTACATCTACATCTACATCTACATCTACATCTACATCTACATCTACAACTTCATCTACATCTACATCTACATCTACATCTACATCTACATCTACATCTACATCTACATCTACATCTACATCTACATCTACATCTACATCTACATCTACATCTACATCTACATCTACATCTACATCTACATCTACATCTACATCTACATCTACATCTACATCTACATCTACATCTACATCTACATCTACATCTACATCTACATCTACATCTACATCTACATCTACATCTACATCTACATCTACATCTACATCTACATCTACATCTACATCTACATCTACATCTACATCTACATCTACATCTACATCTACATCTACATCTACATCTACATCTACATCTACATCTACATCTACATCTACATCTACATCTACATCTACATCTACATCTACATCTACATCTACATCTACATCTACATCTACATCTACATCTACATCTACATCTACATCTACATCTACATCTACATCTACATCTACATCTACATCTACATCTACATCTACATCTACATTTACATCTACATCTGCATCTGCATCTGCATCTGCATCTGCATCTACATCTACATTTACATCTACATGACGTTATTGATTTTAGAGTAAATAAAAATTAATGTTCTAGAAAATAGTGTCTACCTTTAGTTTAACAGTGCGGAAGAGCTGGGTTAGACAGCCTACTAGTTTGGACATAATTTTAAGTAATTTGTAAAATAAATAATTAGATATCTGTCAGTTAGCAGTGCCCAAACATTTGCCCAGGCGTTTCGATCTAGACGGACAGACTGACGACAGACAAAAGAAGCAAGTTAAATTAAAGTTTGTAAAACAAATTCATAAGAAATATTCTAATATCAAGCATTTATGTAATAATGCACTAAAAAAAAATTAATTTCTTTAAAGATAATACTTTACTATTTAAAAAACTACAAAGAAAAACATGGGTCACTTTATTATCTATTTGATACTTTTTCTAATTTCTAAATTTAGTAAGTGACCCACGCTGTTATTTATAGTTATCTATATAGTAGAGTATAATAATACATTTAAATAAAATCATTTATTTTCTACTTTTTAGTGCATTATTACATAAAATCTTGTTATCAAAACATTTTACTCTTTCGTATAGAGGAAGTTTTGTAATCTTGCACAAAAATCACATGAAATTTTGACAGTTTTAACCGTTTACACATCAGTACTTCATCATATACTAAGTATAGGGGACTTATTTTAATCGAGCAAAAATAATAAATCCAGATTTATCAAAATTTCGGCGTTGTATGCGCAATCAAGTCGGAGAAACTGGGTTTTGCAATTCTGTCCTTATGTCTGTGTGTATGTGTGTCTGTAAACACGATAACTTGAGTACCGTTACAGCTAGTTGATGAAATTTCATATATAAGTATTATATCAAATTTGTTGTTCTATGTCAACTTTTCAGCGATTTCAGATAAACTGAAGTGGAAATTATTCTACTTTCAAAAAGCCTATAACTCGAGTACTGTTTCAGATAGATAAACGAATGTTCACATATAAAGGATGTAATTCTCTGCCTTCTATCAAATTTACGGAAGTAGCAATTTACGCTTTTTCCGTTTTCTCAAAAAGGGTGCCATGATTACAATACCGCATAGGCGTAGCGTACGGCCCCTGGTTCCTTAAAACTAACAGGCGCCATCGTGCTCATAGGATAACCCAGAGTGCCAATCCTGTTAACAATGATGCAGATTTCGTCATTCGCTAAAGTGACACAAATGAATAGGATTTTTTTTTCTTTATCACGTAAAAAATTATTTGACGTGTTTTAAA